GTGAAAGAATTATGTAAAAATCATGACTGAGTCCAAAGTTATAGGCATTTAAATTTAAAAAATTATTTGTCATTTTTTTGGGAAAAAAGTATCTTTTTCTTTTTAAGTTATCTAAAAAGTTTCTAAGAAGATGTATATAGAATTTATACTTTTTGGAAAGCTGACTTTACATAAAATACGATAAATGAAACAAAACCTAAAAATTTTTGATACCGAGGGGACCAGGTCCATCCAAAAAAACCCTATTTTTTATGGAAAATTAAATTTTGAGCAAAAATTCTCAAATCGCATAGTCGATATCAAATTATAGTGACCTGTTTTATATGACCCAATAAGTTCTTAATCATTTTGTAACGGGTTTCGATAACCCCGCCCCTGGTATGGATATAATAGGCAAAAAACCAAAAAATCCCATTTTTGGGATTTTTTAAAACTTTTTTGGGAATTCCGGGATTTCTAATAAGAAAATTCGAAATTTTTATTTAATTTTGGATTTTGAGTAAAAAAATCTACCTAACTGTAAAATTTCATCAAAAAATATTCATAAATAAAATTTTTATTGCAATTTGAAAAATTTGTATCTTCGCAAAAACTGAATAAAAAACATTTTTTAATTTTTTTTAAAAAAAGTATTCCGCGAATTTTTTAATTTTCAAAAATTATATACAGTTTTGAAAAATAGACAAAATTACCTTTCCATTGATATATAACATGCCTACCTAATGTTTTTTAAGTGACAAATTAATTAGGGAAAACTCAACATCTTTTAGAAAATTTACCTAGCACTATTATTTTCATCCATATATGTAACAAATTTAAGAGTTAACCTTATGGATGAAAATAATAGTGCTAGGCAAATTTTCTAAAAGATGTTGAGTTTTCCCTAATTAATTTGTCACTTAAAAAACATTAGGTAGGCATGTTATATATCAATGGAAAGGTAATTTTGTCTATTTTTCAAAACTGTATATAATTTTTGAAAATTAAAAAATTCGCGGAATACTTTTTTTAAAAAAAATTAAAAAATGTTTTTTATTCAGTTTTTGCGAAGATACAAATTTTTCTAATTGCAATAAAAATTTTATTTATGAATATTTTTTGATGAAATTTTACAGTTAGGTAGATTTTTTTACTTAAAATCCAAAATTAAATCAAAATTTCGAATTTTCTTATTAGAAATCCCGGAATTCCCAAAAAAGTTTTAAAAAATCCCAAAAATGGGATTTTTTAGTTTTTTGCCTATTATATCCATACCAGGGGCGGGGTTATCGAAACCCGTTACAAAATGATTAAGAACATATTGGGTCATATAAAACAGGTCACTATAATTTGATATCGACTATGCGATTTGAGAATTTTTGCTCAAAATTTAATTTTCCATAAAAAATAGGGTTTTTTTGGATGGACCTGGTCCCCTCGGTATCAAAAATTTTTAGGTTTTGTTTCATTTATCGTACTTTATGTAAAGTCAGCTTTCCAAAAAGTATAAATTCTATATACATCTTCTTAGAAACTTTTTAGATAACTTAAAAAGAAAAAGATACTTTTTTCCCAAAAAAATGACAAAAAATCGCCTTTTTTTAATTTTTTAAATTAAAATGCCTATAACTTTGGACTCAGTCATGATTTTTACATAATTCTTTCACTGCTTGATATATAAACTTGTTGTTAAGCGAATAAAAAAAAATGGCGAAAATCGGGAATATTTGGACCTGCTATTATCAAAAAAAACTAAAGTAAGGACGGTAAAAATTTTAAAATTTTAATTTTCAAATGCGAATATCTCCTAAACTATAAGAGATAATTTACTGCTATGACAACATTTTTTATAGTGCTCGATGAGGAGATTCTATATACGAAATTTTTTTTAAATCGGAACTCAAATGAAGAAATAGGATCGTTTTAAAAATTTAACATAGCCGAGGTGTCCTAATTTGATGACCCCCCGCCGGGCCCCTGGTTGGCCTATAAGGTCCAAATTCAAAACCTAAACTCGACAACACCTCCTCTTTGTGCACACCAAATTTCATTAAAATCGGATTAACCGTTTAGAAGTTACCGAATTATTTCCCTCTTTTTTTTTTTCCTATACCACTGTGCATCAGTGGTGATAGAGGGTATATATAACTTTGTCATTCCGTGTGTAACACCAAGAAATATTCATCTGAGACCCAACAAAGTATATATATTCTGGGTCCTTATGAAATTCTGAGTCGATTTAGCTATGTCCGTCTGTCCGTCCGTCCGTCCGTCCGTCCGTCCGTCTGTCTGTCTGTCTGTCTGTGTAAAACACGCTCACGTTAAAACGAAGCAATATAATTTAACCAAATTCACCCAAAATATTTATTATTATCCGGTACAGTTTGGTATTGAAAATGAGCAATATCGGTTCACATCGGGAAAAGTTATGAATCAAAATTTAAAACAACCTCGAAAAAAATAAGCATTTTTTTCACATTCTAATGTAATTTTCTCCAAAACTATTCAAGATAATTCCATGAAAATCACCATACATTCATTTCTACACAAGATCTTGATCCGTGCAGAAAATTGCCAGAATCGGTCCAAAATTTCATATACCTCCCATACAAAAAGTACATATTCCCGGAAAATGGGTTTTTCGTTAGTAACTTCCATCACAATGTCGATATCTTCACAAAATTTTACAAATTGAAATCTTATGTCAATAGAATTCTTTCAGAGAAAAATTTTCTGGATCGGTCCATAATTGGACATAGCTCCCATACAAGGTCCCCTCCCGAAAATCACTTAAACGCGCATAACTCATTACTAAATTAGGATATCCATATAAAATTTGGTATAAGTATTGCCCATATGCACAGAAATATTACTGTGAAAATTTTTTCCGATCGGTTCAAAATTGGTCATAGCTCCCATACAAGGTCCCCTCCCGAAAATCCCTTAAACGCGCATAACTCATTACTAAATTAAGATATCCATACAAAACTTGGTATAAGTATTACCCATATGCATAAAAATATTACTGTGAAAGTGTTTTCCGATCGATCCATAATTGGTCATAGCTCCCATACAAGGTCCCCTCCCGAAAATCACATAAACGCGCATAACTCATTACTAAATTAAGATATCCATATAAAATTTGGTATAAGTATTGCCCATATGCACAGAAATATTACTGTGAAAGTTTTTTCCGATCGGTCCATAATTGGTCATAGCTCCCATACAAGGTCCCCTCCCGAAAGTCACATAAACGCGCATAACTCATTAGTTAATTAAGATATCCATATAAAATTTGGTATAAGGATTACCCATATGCATAGAAATATTACTGTGAAAGTTTTTTCCGATCGGTCCAAAATTGGTCATAGCTCCCATACAAGGTCCCCTCCCGAAAATCACTTAAACGCGCATAACTCATTACTAAATTAAGATATCCATATAAAATTTGGTATAAGTATTGCCCATATGCATAGAAATATTACTGTGAAAATTGTTTCCGATCGGTTCAAAATTGGTCATAGCTCCCATACAAGGTCCCCTCCCGAAAATCACATAAACGCGCATAACTCATTACTAAATTAAGATATCCATATAAAATTTGGTACAAGTATTGCCCATATGCACAGAAATATTACTGTGAAAGTTTTTTCCGATCGGTCCATAATTGGTCATAGCTCCCATACAAGGTCCCCTCCCGAAAATCACATAGACGCGCATAACTCATTACTAAATTAAGATATCCATATAAAATTTGGTATAAGTATTGCCCATATGCATAGAAATATTACTGTGAAAGTTTTTTTCCGATCGGTCCAAAATTGGTCATAGCTCCCATACAAGGTCCCATCCCGAAAATCACTTAAACGCGCATAAATCATTACTTAATTAAGATATCCATATAAAATTTGGTATAAAAATTGCCCACATGCATAGAAATATTACTGTGAAATTTTTTTTTGGATCGGTTCAAAATTGGTCATAGCTCCCATACAAGGTCCCCTCCCGAAAATCACTTAAACGCACATAACTCATTACTAAATTAAGATATCCATACAAAATTTGGTATAAGTATTGCCCATATACATAGAAATATTACTGTGAAAGTTTTTTCCGATCGGTCTATAATTGGTCATAGCTCCCACACAAGGTCCCCTCCCGAAAATCACTTAAACGCGCATAAATCACTACTTAATTAAGATATCCATATAAAATTTGGTACAAGTATTGCACATATGCGCGGAAATATTACTGTGAAATTTTTTTCCGATCGGTCCATAATTGGTCATAGCTCCCATACAAGGTCCCCTCCCGAAAATCACTTAAACGCTCATAACTCATTACTAACTATAAAGTTTGGCAGAAGTATTGCTCATATACAGAGAAATATTACTGTGAAATTGTTTTCCTACAAAAATTCTATTTCAAGATTTCTCACGATCGGCTCATAACATGGGTGCGGTCGGTCCCATACAAGGTTCCCTTCCGAAAATCACTTAAACACACATTACTTATTACTTAATTACGATATAGATATAAAATTTTACTGAAATATAGCTTTTATGTACAGAAATTTAGCTTAAAGAATTTTTTACGATCGGACTATAATTGGTCATATCTAGGTCCTGCCCCTGAAAGCACTTTAACCGTATTTAACTAGTTGCATTATCAATTTGTTTAGATTATATATATGTATTTTGAAAATCCTTTAATTTTCACACACATGCATACATGCAAATTACTAAATATCGCTAAGCGCTTTAAAAATATACAGAAAATTGCGTTTGTAATGTTCAATAAATCTTGGAATTGTTATAGATTTAAGCTGTTTAAATCTTGGGATTTTTCAATTTAAGACATGAGATAACTTATTTCTACAAATATTTGACCAGTTAGAAAAGTCTTAATATAAAAGTAGTTGGTGGAGGGTATTTAAGATTCGGCTCAGCCGAATTTAGCACTCTAACTTGTTCATATTTTAATATTATTTTTCCCATTTGTAATTTATCTTCTCCCATATTTTAGTTCATTCTTACTGAAAACTTTTTATACAAAATTTCAATAATTAAAGCCACAAAACTTATTAGTATTGCAAAAAATAAAAATGCTAAAGCTGGTGCAAAATGTTGCAAATCAACTTCGACCTCTTCACCTTTTATGGCCGTACAATCGATTTTATTGACTTCCCATTTTTTATCATTGTATGGCAATAGCGCTGCCTCTTGAAACATGGCTAGTGCCAGAGTTATATGTTCATAATAGGGTGAAGATTTCCGTATGCCCACTCCAGAGGAAAATGTAAAGGGTTGATGAAAATTCACTTCTTGTAAATCACAAAATTGAGATTCAGTTAGAAAAGCTGGCAAGAGATAAAAAAAGATTTTTCCAACTTTTAGTAAAAAAATTAAAGGTATTTATATGTTAATATTAAAATTTTATTCTATTTTAAAGTATAATTCCGTTTTAAATTTTACTACAATTCTTTTCAATTAACACATACAATAGAATAATAACCTACATATGTATATACGTGGAGATAAAAAAAACATTTGATTATACATACACAATTATAGTACAAACATACATAAGTAAATTTCCCGTTCATCATGGCGTATGATTAATTTTTGCTTTATACCATATAAATACATATTTCTTTTTTGTATCATTTAGTCGCATGTGGTGGGCATATCCATTGCTTGTTGATTTATTTATTAATTAAAAAACTTTCCACAAAGTCACTTTATAAAATATTTTTATTCAAACATATTTCATTCTTTTGTTAAAAATATACTTAAACCGACGAAAACTATCTTTAAATTTATGCGATGCTGTATAAAATCCATAATGAAAAAAAATTTTTAAATTTACTGTTGGATAATATTAATATCCTTTAGATTGTTGTTTGTAGGTAATGGTTCGTATAGAAATTTATGTGGTATTATTGGTAATGTACATATTTTTGTTATCGGAATGGGAGCCTATGGTTAGAACCACTTATTTATATAATCATCTATAAACATAATATTGACGTCCACTTGAAGAACTGCAGAAGCCTACAGAAGTTTTCCAAAAAGGGAAAATTCCTATGTTATGTTTATTTAGTAAAATTACGCTTCCAAGAGCTTTTGCCATTATTAAAAGCTTCTAAGTTAATCGGAGATAATAGGAAAATTGTGTAACATAAGATTTGAAGTCGAGAGAGCAAATTATCTATGAAACTAAGACAATGCTCTGTAGTTTGTGGAACCAAAATCATGCTTTCTATTATTAACAGCTGAAATCTGAACAAGTACCGAAAGCATCTCTGATTCTTCTCGAATATATCGTTCGATACAATAAGTTATCTGTAGGATATGTTTCACTTTAGAACAGGTTATCCCAAATTGTCTTGATCCGCACTTGGCCTGAAAATAAGGGCAAGATTTGGACTACATAAATGGTTTGTAAGGTAAAATGTCCCAATCACTTATTTTCACCACCTTCGGTGCTACAATTTCTTCAGAACAGTTCCATTTTCAGTAATTTCTGCTTGAAATTTTTCAGGTTGGGACCAAATTTAAGAATCTTTGATGTAAAAATGTCTACACCGACCGTTAAAATTGATTTAAAACACTTTTACATATATATTGATCTTAGTATATGTGTATATTCTGGGTCCTATTTAGTTCATAAGACGATCTAGCCTTGACTGTCTAAAATACTTCCTATGGATAAATAAACTAGTTTTTGATGAACGGAAATATCTCTAAAAAGTTTTATGAGGACTAGTCCATAGTTTTGACCCTACCTCCCATATAAGCGCCCCTTCAGAAAAAAACTCATAACGAAATTTTTCAAACAAATTTTATGATCATAGGTCCATAATTGAACCTAGACTTTATGTAAGGTTCCCTTTAGAAAGTTAATTTAAGGTTTATAGCTGACTTAAAAAATGCCCGTATAGCAATGCAATTTTATATAATCGAGTTTTATATTAACCGATATCTCCCTATGAAGAAAGCCCCTTACCTCCCACATAAGTTCCCATCAGAAAATTGCTTTAACGCACTTTATTAGCATAATAATAACAGTATATACCTATTTTAAGAGAATCGGTCTATAATTGTGCGTAACCCCCATATAAAACCACTCACAAAAACCTGCTTACATATATTGATTTCAAAAACAAAACAACTGACTTAACTCCTTATTAGAGAGCGGTCTTGGTAAGTACTTATTTAACTTATTATTTGTAAGCGAACGTGTTCACTACGTGCCTCTAGAGGGCATGTTTCATGGTTGACTCAATCCCTAATTGAACGCCCTAAGTCTAAATCCATACAATAGGAAATCTTCCTAAATTTACTTTAATTTAAAACTCTTTGGAAGTACTCAGAAACTTAACTTTAAAGAATTAATATTTTGAAATTACCTTTATAAATCCTCTTAACCTCTTATGGAATCATATTATATACTCTACAAATGACACAATCTCTATCAAACAGTTCAACTAACACTGCATGTGTAGCGCATAAAATATAAATTAATTGTATTTTTCTTTTGTTTTATTGTTAACAATAAATATTATTTAAAACATTAAAAACGTGATCAAATGAAAAATCATTCAATTGTCAATGAATGTATTTTATAATTTACACATAGCTACAGATACAGAATTCAAAACCATAAATATGAAAAAAACACAAAAACAGAAATGTCATAAATGTACATAATGTACATAGTATAATTTAAATAATTAAAATAAAATGCAAAAAAAAAAATCAAAGTGAATTTAAAATATTAAACAATATGAAATACACGTTATAATTGTAATAAAATTCCATTATTAATAGAATATTAACAATAAATAATAAATTATTAAAACATAATCAATTTAAATACTTAAACAATTTTACACACTGACACACCGTAACAGTCGTTACATTTGTTAAATAAAAACAAGTTAGAGTGCTATATTCGGCTGAGCCGAATCTTAAATACCCTCCACCAACAACTTTTGTATTAATACATTTCTAATTAATAAAATATTTGTAGAAATAAGTTTTCTCATGTCTTAAATAGAAAAATCCCAAGATTTAAACAGCCTAAATCTACTACAATTCCAAGATTTATTGAACATTAGAAACGCCACTTTCATTTAAATTTTAAATAGCGCCCTAAGATGTGCTTTAGCGATATCTCGTATTTGCATGTATGCATGTGTGTGAAAGATTTATGGATTTTAAAAATACATACATATATATAATTTTGTTCTACACAAATTGATAATGCAAATAGTTAAATACGGTTAAAGCGCTTTTAGGGGCAGGACCTAGTATTAGAGATATGACCAAACATAGACCGATCGTGAAAATTTTTTGAAATAGCATTAAGTGCTTTTTGCATTACAAAATAGTATTTATGAACAAAAATAGTATTTATTTATATCATTATTTGGTAATGAGTTATGTGCCTTTAAGTGTTTTTCTGAAAGGGACCTTGTATGGGAGCTATGATCAATTATGGATCGATAGGAAAACAATTTCACAGTAATATTTCTCTGTATATGAGCAATATTTTTGCCAAACTTTATATGGATATCTTAATTTAGTAATGAGTTATGTGCGTTTAAGTGATTTTCGGGAGGGGACCTTGTATGGGAGCTATGACGAGTTATGGACCGATCGGAAAAAAATTATCTGTAATATTTCTGTGCATATGAGTAATATTTGTACCATATGGGTATCTTAAATTCGTAATGAGTTATGCGCGTTTAAGTGATTTTCGGGAGGGGACCTTTTATGGGAGCTATGACCAATTATGGACCGATCGAAAAAAATTTTCACAGTAATATTTCTGTGCATATGAGTAATACTTGTGCCAAATTTTATATTAATATGGATATCTGAATTTAGTAATGAGTTATGCGCGTTTAAGTGATTTTCGGGAGGGGACCGATCGGAAAAAAATTTCACAACAAAATTTCTGTGCATATGAGTAATATTTGTACCAAATTTTATATGGATATCTTAATTTAGTTATGAGTTAAGCGCGTTTAAGTGATTTTCGGGAGGGGACATTGTATGGGAGCTATGACCAATTATGGACCGATCGGAAAAAAATTTCACAGTAATATTTCTATGTATATGGGCAATACTTACACCAAATTTTATTTAGATATCTTAATTTAGTAATGAGTTATGCGCGTTTAAGTGATTTTCGGGAGGGGACCTTGTATGGGAGCTTTGATCAATTATGGACCGATCGGAAAAAAATTTCACAACAATATTTCCGTGCATATGGGTAATATTTGTACCAAATTTTATATGGACATCTTAATTTAGTTATGAGTTAAGCGCGTTTAAGTGATTTTCGGGAGGGGACCTTGTATGGGAGCTATGACCAATTATGGACCGATCGGAAAAAAAATTTCACAGTAATATTTCTATGCATATGGGCAATACTTGTACCAAATTTTATTTGGATATCTTAATTTAGTAATGAGTTATGCGCGTTTAAGTGATTTTCGGGAGGGGACCTTGTATGGGAGCTATGATCAATTATGGACCGATCGGAAAAAATTTCACAACAATATTTCTGTGCATATGAGTAATATTTGTACCAAATTTTATATGGATATCTTAATTTAGTTATGAGTTAAGCGCGTTTAAGTGATTTTCGGGAGGGGACCTTGTATGGGAGCTATGACCAATTATGGACCGATCGGAAAAAAAATTCACAGTAATATTTCTATGCATATGGGCAATATCTATACCAAATTTTATTTGGATATCTTAATTTAGTAATGAGTTATGCGCGTTTAAGTGATTTTCGGGAGGGGACCTTGTATGGGAGCTATGTCCAATTATGGACCGATCCAAAAAATTTTTCCTCTGAAAGAATTCTATTGACATAAGATTTTAATTTGTAAAATTTTGTGAAGATATCGACATTGTGGCGGAAGTTATTAACAAAAAACCCATTTTCCGGGAATATGTACTTTTGTATGGGAGGTATATGAAATTGTGGACCGATTCTGGCAATTTTCAGCAGGGATCAAGATCTTGTGCAGAAACGAATGTATGGTGATTTTCATGGAATTATCTTGCATAGTTTTCGAGAAAACTACATCAGAATGTGTAAAAAATGCTTATTTTTTTCCGAGGTTGTTTTAAATTTTGATTCATAACTTTTCCCGGTGTGAACCGATTTTGCCCATTTGCAATACCAAACAACTTAGGAAAATGAAGAACATTTTGGGTGAATTTGGTTAAGCTCTATTGCTTCGTTTTATCGTGAGCGTGTTTTACACAGACAGACGGACAGACGGACAGACGGACAGACGGACAGACGGACAGACGGACAGACGGACAGACGGACAGACGGACATAGCTAAATCGACTCAGAATTTGATAAGGACCCAGAATATATATACTTTGTTGGGTCTCAGATGAATATTTCTTGGTGTTACACACGGAATGACAAAGTTATATATACCCTCTATCACCACTGATGGTGGTGGAGGGTATAATTAATTAAATGTACAAAATTTAATAATGTGCACAGCAACTGAACTTAAACAATACAATAAATTTGCTAATTTTCTGGAATTTTAATTAATATACATAGATTTTTCAAATTAAATTTCTATTATACTCACTTATCAACAGACGATATGCTCGATCGATAGCCACATGAAATGCAAAATTTCCCTTGCCAATTCTTTTGACACCCTCCTCAAGCGTTAATATATTGTCATGATTTGTATGTTTATTGCAAATACGATATTTGTACAGATTGCTTACCAAAGGATTTTTGTTGTTGATAAAAACTTCATAATTATATGATATGTTTTCCATGCCCACCTCCAGGCTGCTATTATACAAAGCCTGTAAATTTGTTATGGTACGTGGTGGCTCTGACAGTAATGAGCTAACAATGAATGCCCCATAGAATTGCATTAGCAAAATTGAAAATATAGATACGCTGACGATAAGCACACGTGTTGAATTGCAGCGAAATAATTCTGGGTCTGGACCTTGCATTAGTATAGCTTCCATAATGCATAAAACAATGAAATCGAAATGATTCTCCATCGCTGTTGGGTTAATATGAAAATGAAATTGTACTGGGGCATCTCCAACATTACCAGCAGCAGTAGCCATTACTGCAATATTGTTTTCGGCAAGTCCTTGTTGCTTTTGTTGTCGTTGTCTTTGCAATTTCGTAAATAGTTTGTATTCCGTATGCACATGTATGGTCAACATGAGTATTGTAACAACAATTAAGGCCAAAATACACCACCAAACAATGTCGGCTAATGGCTCAAAGAATATATTGCGAATACTTGTACGTTTTGGATGGCGAAAGAGAAAATGTATTCTTGGGTTTTAGGAAGGGTATAAAAAAAGAAGGAAGGAAAATAAAAAAAGTATGAGAGATTATATAAAAACAAAGAAGCAAACATTTAGGACACTTACTTTTCAGTATGTATATTTCTTGAGTAATCAATAACCTGCATTCTTGTTAATAAGTACCTCAAGGGGCACAAAGATAATTCTACTTGATGTGTATTTAAGAGACCAATAACTCCGGACCAAGTGCCATTTGTTTTAGCTCCCCATTTATCAGTAAAATGGATTTCAAACCTTTCAAAAACAAAAAACCTGCTTTAGAAGAAATTTTCCCTGAACTAGAACTGAACTAGAACTGAACTAGAACTGAACTAGAACTGAACTAGAACTGAACTAGAACTGAACTAGAACTGAACTAGAACTGAACTAGAACTGAACTAGAACTGAACTAGAACTGAACTAGAACTGAACTAGAACTGAACTAGAACTGAACTAGAACTGAACTAGAACTGAACTAGAACTGAACTAGAACTGAACTAGAACTGAACTAGAACTGAACTAGAACTGAACTAGAACTGAACTAGAACTGAACTAGAACTGAACTAGAACTGAACTAGAACTGAACTAGAACTGAACTAGAACTGAACTAGAACTGAACTAGAACTGAACTAGAACTGAACTAGAACTGAACTAGAACTGAACTAGAACTGAACTAGAACTGAACTAGAACTGAACTAGAACTGAACTAGAACTGAACTAGAACTGAACTAGAACTGAACTAGAACTGAACTAGAACTGAACTAGAACTGAACTAGAACTGAACTAGAACTGAACTAGAACTGAACTAGAACTGAACTAGAACTGAACTAGAACTGAACTAGAACTGAACTAGAACTGAACTAGAACTGAACTAGAACTGAACTAGAACTGAACTAGAACTGAACTAGAACTGAACTAGAACTGAACTAGAACTGAACTAGAACTGAACTAGAACTGAACTAGAACTGAACTAACTGAACTAGAACTGAACTAGAACTGAACTAGAACTGAACTAGAACTGAACTAGAACTAACTAGAACTGAACTAGAACTGAACTAGAACTGAACTAGAACTGAACTAGAACTGAACTAGAACTGAACTAGAACTGAACTAGAACTGAACTAGAACTGAACTAGAACTGAACTAGAACTGAACTAGAACTGAACTAGAACTGAACTAGAACTGAACTAGAACTGAACTAGAACTGAACTAGAACTGAACTAGAACTGAACTAGAACTGAACTAGAACTGAACTAGAACTGAACTAGAACTGAACTAGAACTGAACTAGAACTGAACTAGAACTGAACTAGAACTGAACTAGAACTGAACTAGAAATGAGAACTGCCATAGTTCTCATTACTTTAAATTAAACATATCTTCCATTAGCCTTATCAATTGATACGTTTTCCTTTGCATGGCATCATCCTCCATAAAATTTTTGTCATCACTAAGATAATCTAAATCCGATCTATTAAAGTTTCTTGGTTTGTTTAGTATCTAAATTGGGAATTAGATATGAAAAATTTAAAAACACAGTAAAAATCATAATTATTCTCATTATAATTTAAAAATTACCGCGGTGGTTGCCTTTATAGAGCAGTTATGAAAATTCTTTCTGCGTATAGCAATACCAAAGCGAAATTTATTTAGTATTTTGAGACCAGTTTCTGATGACCAATTTCCTTTATATTCGATTTGTAAAGGTAGCCCACAATCATAGCAAATATTATACACATCGTATAAATCTAATATAGAACTGAAAATAATAATTTAAAATACGTGAATGCTGTTACCGAGATATGTAATAAAATATTAAAATACAGTATATAATTGAGTGGTATCTATGCAGTTTCTCTTCTTCTTTGTTTGTTTAAATACCCTCAATATTTATTAATAACACTTACGTATTACGAATAACAGCCACAGTAAAATCAGCATCAATCATTATATTTAATTTACCAAAATACTCTGCAATATCAGTCAATGGATTTTCCAAATTTTCCATTAACACCAACCACACAAATGACTTATTCAACTTTTCCCTCAATGAAAAAAATTTCAAAATTCTTCCTTTTCCTTTATCGCCCCTTATATATTTCATAAAGACCACTAAGCCGGATCGATACGATTGAAATAAATATTCAGTGTTATTGGCGGCTAAAGTATTTACAAATTGTATGTGATAATTTTCTGTTAATTTTCGAATTAATGGCAATTGTATAAAGTTATCCTTAACAACATTATCCCGGCATCTTGTGGATGATGTGTAAATAATGATGGCACGTTGTAGCTGATTATAATCAAGAAATTCATTTAATACGTTTAATTCATAAGAAGTACTTATGTTGCTTTTGTTGTCTTTGTTTTCGTTATTGGTGAAGTTTCTCTGCTGTTGCACTTGTGTTGTTAACACTTCTATAGCAGTAGAGATTGCGGTTGTGATACACAATACTGCAATTACTTTAGATCCGCTTAAATGCATGTCGTTGTTGTTGTTGCTGTTGTTCTGACACTATGGCTGCTATTGTTTGATGTTTGGCTTTTTATATTATTTTATAGCCATTGGTGGAGCTGTGGGTGTTTGTTGGTTGGTTCATTGGAAATTTCTTTTTCTACTGTTGTTGTTTTTGTTGTTTGTGCATTTTATTATTGTTTCATTTTAAGTATGTTTGTATTATAAACACCACCATATCTGCTACACTTTTAAAAGTGTTACAAATACAAACCTTGCCAGCTATTTAATGACATTATCACACAAATACCAGCACTATGGTAAATGTACCAGCTATTAAATATATACATATAATTGCAAACATACAGTGAAATTGACAAAACGACTGTAATATCCGTTTAGTGGCGGATGGCTGTAGGCTAGAATATAGTTTCATTTGAAACTAGTTGACAGATAAAATTATAGACAATTGTCACTATTCACATTATAATTTAGTCATAATTGTACAATTATTGGTGAATTTTTCTGTATGTGTATTAGCTGCACCCAGTAAACTTCGCTTATCTCGCGGAAAAACATAATTACATTAAAAACTAATGTAAGTTTTTGCTGTTCATATATAGTTTTTATGGAAATTTTTTAAAATATTTGTAGTCTAATTGAGAATCTATAGCCGATTTTATGGTTATCGCATTATAATGTATTATTGGTGAATTCACAAGGATACAGATATACGTGCATATATTTCTTTATGTATATATAAAGTAACTAGCATACCCTGGGTGCTTCGCTACCCTAACCAAAATTAAATACATACAAAATTTTGTATCGGTATCATGTGTTAACCATTATAGAGAATCCAAAAGAGTTCACATTTACAGAATATTACTCAATCAAGACCATGTATGTTAAAATTTATGTTCCTAGGTTGAATATTTTAGATAATTCAAAGAGTACCATATATGAGATAAATAGTACTAAAAAGTTCTCTCTTAAAGAATCTTATTCAATGAGACAGTGTATGTTTAATAATCATGTGTTTTGAATTCGCATTATAGAATATACAAAGAGTATCATTTGAAGAAAGAAAAGTACCAAAAGTGGAATAAATTCTACCGAATAAAAATAGTACAATTTTTCCCCTTTTCGCTTAGAAAAATACTTTTTTGAGAGTTAAGTTTACAAAATGTTCCGTATTTGTTCCAGAAAAATTGTGCTTTCAAAAAGTACCAAAAAATTTACTCGAATTTGGTTCTATTTCCCGTTTTTAGCCTTTTTGGTACTTTTTTCCCCAGTGAAATAGCAAACAATTTGTTTCAATAAATATTACAGAGTTAGTGCGTAATTTAATAGGAATACTTCAATATATCGAAAAAGTTTTCTTAATTTGATAAAAAAAAGTACCAAAAATACAGTTTTCTCCCTTTTACATCCAAAAAGGAGTGAATTTTAACAAGTAAGAATGTTATATTCGGCTATGCCGAATCTTATATACCCACCATCAAATCACTGCCATATAAATAAACTTTTATATTTTGAATATTTTATTATTATGTATCGATATTAATGAGAACATCATTGTAATATTTGAAAGAGGTCTATTAATGGGGGATTAACTATTAATAGTGCTCTTTCGAATTAAATATGTTAATTCATATAGGGAGTAGGGTTATATATACACATATGGACCAATTCTCATAAAAGTCGGTAGGAAGATTTCACTTCCTTATTTATTTCAAATTTCATAGATCTACTTGCATTTTTAAGCCAGTAATGAACATTAAAGTCATTTTCTTAAAGGGACCTCATACGGAGTTAAGGTTAATTATGGACCGATCCTCATAAAATATGGTAGAGAGATTTTAGCTTAAAATTAGTTTATGTCGAATTGCATCGAATTTCAATTACGCCAGTAAAGAGCGTTTAAGTGATTTTCTGATGGGGACCTTAAATGAAGGGCAGGGTCAATTATGGACCGATCCCCACAAGAGATGTTAGCTCATACAAAACTATATCGAATTTCACCGCCTTACTCGTTTTTTAGGCCAGTAATGAGCGTTAAAGTAATTTTCTGTTAGGGACCTTATATGCGGGATAGGGTCGTTTAAGGCCCGATCCACATACAATTTGATGGAAAGGTTTTGGCTCCTAAGATACTTATTTGTGTCAAATTTCTTCGCTATACTCGTATTTTTACGCCAATAATGGGCGTTAAAGACATTTTCAGAAGGGGACGATCAACATAAAATTTGGTAGAGAGATTTTGGCTCGTATAAAACTTACATCTCTGAATTTTCATCGCTCTTCTTTTTAAGCCAGTAATGAGCCCTAAAGTCATTTTCTGAAGGGGACCTTATATAGGGAGTACTTATTTATATCAAATTTCTTCGCTATACTCGTATTTTTATGCCAATAATAAGCGATAAAGTCATTTTATGAAAGGGGACCTTATATGGGCGGGTAGGGGCAATTATGGACCGATCCACATAAAATTTTGTAGAGAGATTTTGGCTCATATAAAACTTACTTCTGTGAAATTTCATCGCTATACTAGCAATTTTATGCCAGTAAAGTAATTTAAGCGTTAAAGTCATTTTATAGAGGGGACCTTATATGGGGAGTAGGATCAATTACGGACCGATCCACATATAGTTTGGTGGAGAGATAATGGCTTGCATGAAACTTACGTGTGTCAAATTTCATCGCTATATTCGTATGTTTAAGCCAGTAATCAGCATTATAGTCATTTTCCAAAGAGGACGTTATATGGGGGGTAGGGCCAATTATAGACCGATCCACATAAAATTTGGTAGAAAGATTTTGGCTCATATAAGTCTTACTTCTGTAAAATTTCATCGCTATATTCGTATTTTTAAGCCAGTAATAATGGGGGGTAGGGTCAATTATGGACCGATCCACATGAAATTTAGTGGAAAGATTTTTACTTGTATGAAACTTACTTATGTAAAATTTCAGCGCTATACTCGTATTTCTACGCCAATAATAAGCGTTAAAGTCATTTTCTGAAGGGGACCTTATATGGGGGGTAGGGTCAATTATGGACCGATCCACATATTGTTTGGTGGAGAGATATTGGCTTGCATGAAACATATGTGTGTCAAATTTCATCGCTATATTCGTATGTTTAAGCTAGTAATCAAAATTATAGTCATTTTCAAAAGGGGACCTTATATGGGGGGTAGGGCCAATTGTGGTCCTATGTCCGGCATAATTCAGAATTATATTTCGGAGGTCAAAAAACTGACTTGTGCGAAATTTTGTGCCATTTGCTTCATAAACAACAAATTTGTGAATGTTTGAAGCTTTTTACACAATATTCCGGGGGGTACATTTGTATGGGGGCTATGTGAAATCGTTGTCCGATTTTGCCCATTTTCAATACCAAACATTTTTGATCAATAAAAAATATTTTGGGAAAATTTCATCTCAATATATCTTTTTTTGTGGACGCTATCGTGCCAACAACAGACAGACGGACGGACATAGCTAGATCGTCTTAGAATCTTACTAGGTCCCAGAATATATATACTTTATGGGGTCTGTGAACAATATTTCGATGTGTTATACACGGAATGACAAAATCAATATACCTCCCATCTTTTTTGATGGTGGGTATAAAAAAGTAAGAAACAGGTGTCTCCTAATTTTGGGAGATACATTCAAAATATTTACAAAAATTTTAAAAAAAGTTATAAAGGGCCAAAAAAGGTACCAAAATCACCTTTGTTACACATTTTCACCCCTTAAAAGTACGAATTTCATAAAAGTACCAGATACCCATCTGCTTATTTTAAGGGCAGATACAGGTGCATTTAAAATTTTTCTTGTATCACTAATATTAGGTAATATAATTAAGAACACCTGTTTAACCCGTTTTATTCCCTTTTTTACCCCTAAATGTACGAATTTTCCAAAATCCCTCCTTAGTGGGCTGTGCGATGATGAATCAGTCAGTCAATATAGATTTTCATATGTAAACTTTTTTCAATGACACTGTTAACAATGTTAATATTTCCTTTATCTCCCTTTATAATAAAGTCTGTACATTAAAGAAAATATTCTATATTTAGTTATTGTGTATTAAAACGTTTAATTCAAAAAGTACAATAACAACAATTCAGTATATTATTTCATAAATAATTTATAATAATGTTGCTAATTTTGTTGCAAATTCCTGGCAATTTTTCAATTAATATGTCAAAATATATGTTGACATTTCAATTGCCATTTGTATTTGCCTAATTACAAACTATTATCAAACAAATATTAGACAATATAAAATTTTCATTTACAACTGACGCTCTAATGATATTTTCAGCAATTTGCAGTTTTATTGTAAAACAAAAAGATATTGCAATTTTTGCAATATCCCTATCCCCCTTCTGAAGATGACATAATAATGAAATCAGACAAAAACAAGTTTTGTAGGGATCAAAATCTGTATACTACATACCATGAGAATCGGTCTATAA